ATCACTTGGCCTGCATTACCTCTCCATAATAATCTCATACATCAAAACTGGGAGAGACCCTGGCTCTGCCTGTAAGCGACTCCGTTAGACGTTGAATATCATTATCAGAAGCCCCTCGCTCCCTCGGCTTCGTATGCAAACTCCTGAGCTCCCTGGAGTCCTTCCCGAAGAAAGTGCCCTGCACGACGGACATTTGTTATTTTGCAGGAGAGGACGCTGAGGCTCCACGGGGACTGAACCACATTAACGGCAGCCGCGAGTTGGTGACAACTCAGACCTACATTGACACCTAGTGGCGTCTCTGAGAATTGCAGCTGGCTCTGGCGGGTTCCTCGAAGCCTCGCTCCGGAAAAGCGTAACAAAGCCACCGATCTAGATATTTACCAATATCCGGGAAGAGGACAGAGTGGGAAACAAAACTTCACTGTTCGGCACCTCTTTGGTGATAGACGAACCCTCACTTCTTGTTTAAATATCTTAACTTGACAAGGGCTGCGAGAATTGAATCATTACTCTTTCATCCCATCTCAGGATAAAGTCAGGTCTTTAAGAAAGAGAAATGGAGGAAGAGAGACAAAAGCATGAGTGGAATCCAACTTCACATTTCTTCATCCTCCAGTTGTAAGAATCTGTCCTGCATACAGTCGCGCAAGTGTGCAAAGACAGTCATTGCAGCAGTGTTTGGAATTTTTTAATGGAAACTATCTAAAAAGGCCGTATATTTTATATATACTTTTATATATATAACAATAGTCATGTATATAATATACATCATTATATATGTAATAGTAACAAAAGTCATAACATTGATATATTGATATATGTGTGTGTGTTATGACTTTTGTTACTGCTACATAATTGGGTTTTACCTTAATTTGGAATCTCCATTCCTCCTGATGCAGAAAATATAACAACCACGGTCAATCCTGGATAAAGTCAGGCATTTTATATTTAAACTTCATCAATGCAGTCTTCTTTCCTTACCTTGGCCCTTAGGTTTAGCGGCCTGCCTTGTATCACATTTTAAGAGAGTGTCTGCACCCCAAATCTTCACATGGAGGCTTATCACTGACCCCTCAGCTCCTGAGTCCTCAGATTTCACCTTGAGCGTTCACACACTCATATGTCATATCTACCCTCCAGGGAAGGGCGCAGGAGACTGCCTTTTGGAGACCCTGACTATTTCTCTTCCTCCCCATCCTTCCCTCTTCCTCGTCCTCAGCTTGATCTGTCTGGGGTTGGGAAGAGAAGGGGAAACTGCCAAAACATATTCTGCTCAATCTTTTCTATTTTATATCTGGGATGAGAACTTTTTAGACTAAAACTCAAGAATTGGTG